TCCACCCAACCCCTCGCCTCGCCCCTCCCGAACTATATCCCCACTGCTTCCGGCCCGCCCGCGCGTCGCAGAGCACTGCTTTGTGCGAGGCCGCTGAGTCGCGCCCGCTGCTCTTCGGCGCCCACCTGCTCCGAGTGCTTCACTCGAGTGCTTTCGGATGTGGCGGTGCTGCGGTGCTGATGTTCAATTTTAACAAGCGGTCTCGCGGCATCGCCCAATTTGGACCCTCTCGGCCGCCTTGGCTCACCGCGGCCGCGAATCGGCGCACCACCACCAACCACCTCCACGCATAGCGATTGCAGCAAGCGGCGAGAGGTGCGGCTGGGCGGTTGCAGATGAGGATGAGGGGAGGGATGAGCAGGGTGTGAGCCAGTGGTGAGCCAGTGGTGCGCCAGTGGTGCGCCAGTGGTGCGCCAGTGGTGAGCCAGTGGTGAGCCAGGGGTGAGCCAGGGGTGAGCAAGGGGAGAGCAAGGGCCATGCAGGAGGTGAGTCAAGGGGTGAACCAGAGGATGAACCAGTGGGTGAGCCTGGGGTCGAGCAGCGATGATAAGGATACGGGGTTGAGCAAAGGGGTGAGCCACATTTTCGGACCGAGGAGCTCAACGTACAAACATCAACAGACACAAGAGAGCAGAGTTAAGAGAGAAAGAGAGAGAGTGAGAGTCATGCGGGAGGGGACAGGGGGCGGCGAGCTGGGAAAGGGGAGGGGGCATCATAGTGCGCAGACTTTTACTACGTTACGCCGGGTGGCGTGGCGGCGGAGCGCCCGCCCCCCGGCCCCTTTTCCTCTGCCCAAAGACGCGCGCAAATGGGGGATTTAAAACACGGTAACTACATCCTTATGCCGTCGTAAAAACAAGGCAAAAAAGGGGGCAAACACGCCAAAGGGAGGGGAGTAAGAATGTAAACGAGCAAACGTCGGTGCTCTGAAAAGCACCCCTACTAGCTGCTGCAGTCACGACCTTCCAGAGAGCCTCGTCATAAGTAGTGCAAATGTGCAAAAATGCCTTTTTTCCTGTGAGAGTTATTGGTGCCTGTGAGAGGCGGACAACGTTATTGCTGAATCAGGTTGTCCCGGGCTGGGCCGCGTCGAGCGGACCGCGCCGCCCCTTGGCCTTTGAGCCGTCTGGCTGCCAATAATTTAGGGACACATTTATTTGCCTCCATTTCGGCGGCGTTTGGTTATTGAGGTGGGAGGGGTCGGAAAGGGGGTGGCGATGGCGCAGGAGTCCTGTGGTGTGAGCTGTTTGGTTCACTTGTTGATTTCTCTCTGTGAGGTGAGTTGTTGGCGCGACCCTCAACTCACCCCGCCCCCGCAGGCCCACTCCGCGGCTCCACCACCATTCACCTGCCGCCAAGCAAAATTGGGCACCTGCTTAGAGGTCTGATTTCAATTGCGGTGGAGGCACGTCCATTAAACTAGTTGTCTATTTTTGTTCCCACGCCCACAAAGAAAGCACGGAGAAAAAAATAGGAAAAAATAAAAGATCGTAAAAATGCATGAAGTTACCAATTAAGCTATAGTGAGTATTTGAGCTCAGATTTCTTTTTTTAATATCAAAGGGTTGGCATGCCACTTCTTTGAGAATTCTGTGCTGACGTCAATAATTTGCTCAAAGCTGTCTTGCCCTTGAGGACCACGACCGTCGTCAATACCACCTAATTGCTAAAATTAACTTGAAGGACTATAAACGCTCCGCACTTTTCTTTGCTTGTTTTTTGTTTTTGTTTTTTTGCCACGAGCCTTAACATACCTCTACTGCGCATTTGAGGAGCGGCCTTGCCCGCCGGGTGCGCTTTGCCTTGCATTAGCCCGCTGCACCGGTGTTGCACTCGGGTCCGCGACACCGTTCGCGACCCCCGCGGGACCCGCGGCGACCTCCGCACCCCCCTACCACCTCTTTTCGCATCGCTAGCGTGGGAATCCCCGGCGCAGCAACGCCGTCAACATTCAACAACCCGAGTCTCGCAGTGCAAAGTTTTGTCGCGAACTTGAACGCCGAGGAGGTGAGAGCGAACGCTATAGTCACACACACTTGTGTGGCGGTGACAGTCTGTGTGTGTCAGGCGCCCTGATGCGCGGGGCGCCCACTCCGCGTCAGGCGCCCTTACTCACCTACTCGACGGCGCCCCCACCGTCGCGAGCACTCCGCGCAGCACCCCGAGCAGCACCTCGAGCGGCACCCCGAGCAGCACCTCGATTAGCACCCCGAGCAGCAACCCGAGCGGGGCCGGGCGAGTGGCGGCCCCTCCTCTCACACACCCACAAACACAAACTCCCTACACCAAACGCTCGGGGGCGTTGTCACAGCACGTGAACACACAGATTTATCACACACCGCCGCAAGACAGAAACGCAGGCTTCCCGTCACAACGAGGGGGAGGGAGTGAATTATCGTGTCACTCGGTTGTCACAGACTCAGTCGTGAGAGCGGGGCCGGTGCGAGCGCGAACACGGGGCGCAGGAGTCGCGCGCGCCAACGTGACGGGGGGCGGAGACCGGCTATGGGCCGGGCGGCGACCGGGCGGCGACCGGGCGGGGACTGTGTGAGCGCTTCGACGGCTGGCCGAAGACTGGGGAGGAAGAGCAGAGAGCAGCGCGCCGCGCGGCCGCCGGTTGTTGGGCGGGTCGCGGCCGGGCCGCCCTGGCGCTCCACCGGCACGCTCTGGACGGCGAGGTGCAGGGGAACGCGGTCCGCGGCCGGCGGCGAGCACTATACCACCCTCTGCAGCAGCGACGTGCCCATACGCACCCTAAAAAGCTAAGACTTGAAATCAAGTGAACTTTCTTGAAACAAGTGAACATTCAAATTCAAACACTTGAATAAAATGTGTGCATGTGCACTTGTTATTTTTAAGAAAATGCACGTGATTTCAACAGCCTGCTTTTTTCGGTTCGAGGCACTGACTAGTCTGAAATCAGAGTAGTGGCACTCGTAAAACCATAGTGACTTCATCAGAGAAAAGAGGCCGAAATTTGGCATGACAGGAAAGTTAAAACATGAGACACTTGAGTGCTGCCTATTTGGTGCGAAAAACATTATGCGTTCATTTCCAACGTTTTTCATCATTTTTTACCAAAATGAAGTTGTAAGAAATACAACCGTTGAGCATACATGAAAGCTCCCAATTCTCGTATTAAAAAGCAATTTGTTGTCATATTATCATTATTAAGACAATTAAAAATAAATCCTCATCCTACCGGAGGATGAAAACTGACGGCAGTTGTGGCGACGCAAAGCCCATTAGAGGTGTTAGTTACATGTGACTTTGTATGACTCCATCATAGCGGCGCGCTGGGCTTAACTGCCGGGCCGCACGCTACCCGTCGAGGCTCCTGCTGCTGCTGGAAGTAAAGGCGGCGATGGAAATTGTGACCTCTGCTTTGTCGCATGTCGAGTTTGGTGGGAAAAAAACAAACCGCCATGCCTCCATTTTCACGCGTGCCTAAGCGTGCCTAATCGTGAGATGACACGAGCTAATGTGTTGTTCACTTCTGTTCTGTATCAAGCGTACCGTCGTGGGACGCAGACCCGCCGTGTCCGTTGTCCGTTCTTGGAGCGGTGCTTATACCTGGTTGTCTTACGGCTTCATGAACAGTGTTAGGATCGTGTGGAACCACGTTTTTTGGATTACACATCGACATATCACCATGTCGCATCGCTGATCCAAGGGGTTACAGGATTTACGGGATATACATTGAATTGTAAACGAGAGACGGTAAATGTATTGGTATTCTGTTGTGCAAACGTTTGTGCGAAGGTAAAACTACTTTGCTTCAATTCGGGACAAATTTGTGTGCGGAACTAAATAAATTCGTCTAAATGAATACACACACACAAAAAAAAAGAAATACAAAAAATGTATTCAACGCTGAAATGTGTCCAAAAAACTTGATTGCTTGAATTCGTAAAAATAATCCTGTACCCCCTATGTGATCCGAAAAACGTAGTTCAACACGATCTTGCTTGGGGGGTAAGACAACAGGGTGTGCAACGCTCCCTCTACAGAGGTAATGAAAATGTTCTGTAATCCCCCTTCCTTTTTTGCTGGAAATTAAAAACCGTGTTTGGAAGTAAGAACATGTTCGTTATACAACCACACCGCCTTCGCCACGTACCGCTATCAAAAACCCAAACATCACTCGAAGGGGCTCCAGGCGGGCCGTCCCGCGAGGCAGGCGTGCGCACCGGCTGCCTACCCCGCACGGCGCTCCAGCCGGCCGCAAGCGGGACGCTAGGCTGGGACGCCGGATTACTGGACGGACAGCAAGCAGCTGGCGAGTGCATATCACTACCCGTCTGTCTGTCTGTCTGTCTGTCTGTCTGTCTGTCTGTCTGTCTGTCTGTCACGCTTCACCCCCGTCGCAACTCACGCAAAGGCTATGTCGTCTGACCTCGCATGCTTCCAATTCCAACCAAAAACAATTTCTCTAACAGTCACTTTTTTGGCTTTTAATTTCTTCTAAATTATTTATCCAACTTTTGTATTTTTGGATAAAAGAAACAACGAAAAGGTTTATCAGCGCCGGTGACGTTAGTGGCTCTTTTGGCGTTCTATTGCACGGGCCTGCAGGATCCTACCCTGGTGCCTGCTCGCTCGCCACCAAACAAACACCCGGCGTGGCGCCACGCTCACTAAACGATTCCCCCAATTATCTTGAGCGACGACACGACGCACTCTCGCGCACGGCTAAACACGAGCGACAAATCGTCTCCTCAAGGACGCGGAGGGGTCCCGAAAACCAAAGCCTGAGCCGCGGCGACCTTTGCGCCTTCCTTGTGTTTGAGAAGGGGGCAGAAGAAATATGCGGCACCCCTTGAAATAGGCTTTCTGTCGGTTTGCGCAGGAGACTGCGCAGTTGTGTTGCAGCGACACAGTGGCACTGGCTCTGTTGCCTCCCGGGCTGGTGCCGGCCTGCCGGCCGTCCCCGCCGGTCCCCGCGGCCCTCGAGGCGATGGCTCATCGAGTCGCAGGCTTGCGCGCAGCCTTGCCGAGCAATCCAGCCGCGCTGCTCCAACGGCTCCAATTGAGCGCGATCGGAGCGCGTCTGCTTGACCGGACGGGGTGGGCCGCCCGCTCGCTCTATGGCCCGCTCCTCGGACACGCATTATTGCAGCTTGCACTGAAACAGGTCCTTCAGCGCACTCGTCATAACCGCTTACTGTACTGTTTCTCTCACTTAAATCGCCTGAAAAAAAAAAATACACTCAAAAATTCAGCGATGCAAAATGTCAAAAGTTTTTGACATAGACATTTTTACAAAAGTGGTTCAACTAAGATGGTTTTCACACATAAAAGTTGAGCAGCCAATGTTTCTGGCTTCCTTTGCGGAAAATGGCTGTGTTTCAACAGTGTTGCGTGTCACCGCCACGTTTCAAATTCACCCGCGCTTCGTGGCCGGGAGCCTTTCCGCACGGCCTGCGAATACTCTGCGGCGGAGCGGCAATACCCCGCGCATCGCAGTCCCGGCCCGTTTCGCCGCTCGCGGCCCGCACTACTAGCTCTACCCCCGGCTCGCCGGCACTACCCCTGCGGCGCACACCACGCCGCTCCGCCGGCAAAGGGCGCGGTGCTGGCCGGCCCGCTCTAGCCCGCTCGAGTGGTGGTACCCCTCACGGCAGACCACTTCCCGCAGAGCCCCATCGCAATCTCTCGTCGACAGAAGGCCTCCCGACGGTTTTGAAAGCCAAGTCCTGCGGCAGATAGCCCAACGTACCACACCACGTGGGGCGAGAAAAGACCGCTCCGCCAGTGCTGACCTCTGCGCGGCGGGCGGCGGAACCAGCTCGTCGTCTGCTGGGGCGCACGCTGGCGGGGCGCGGGGGGTAGCGGCGGCGGCGCGCTTCAGTTGGCCACCGAGTGCGCCTGGGAGCGGACGCAGGGTCGTCGCCCGTCTGCTAGGAGCGCGTCTGAGTGTGTGAACGTTTAGTTTTGAATGGATGCTTGCCCCTGACTGCTGACTCCGTCTCCGCGGGCGAACCTCAAGAGCGATGGAAGTGCTGTGGTTTCTAATTCAAGTTCTGGTGCTGTGTCCGGCCGTCGTCCGAACCTGGGGTGAGTCCTGCTCCCCACCCCCTCCCCCTTCCACCCTGCCAGCGCTCCATGGCTACGAGCGAGCAGGTCACGTAGGCAGGCAGTCGAGCTGCTTCTCGCACTTTTCGGCTCGATTTCGACACTTTTTCGCAAAATTTGATCGTTCGAAAAGTGTTAAAAGTGTAGCCCGTGGCTTTTGCTGGGGCTACCCGTCTGGAGATAACTGTTTCATAACGTGACTTCGTAGGAAGGATAACCTTTTGCCTTTTCTGTGACCTTTTCTCATGGTCTTTTCTTAACATTTAATTATGATTTAATCGGTTATAGCAGCATTTTCGAATTTGAAGCTATTAAACTTGATTTCTTTTCCCTATCGTCACTGATCTTTGGGGCTGTTACAGCACTCATAGACATGTTGGTGTATATTTTTATTTTTATTTTCACACATTGACCCCAGGGTCCTGCCCTGGGTATGATGAGATTGTGCTGGTGACATTGGCAAAGTACTTCTTGTGTGGTGATGGTATGCTGGTTTCGATACTTGAGGAAATAAGCTGCCTTTAATACAAAGCTACATTTTAAATCGATATGCGTCGTCGGAAAATTTTCTCAGAACAGTCTTACAGACTGTATATTAATTTATTTTTGTTTAATATGGAAATTTATTCTGAATACTCTGTCTTACTGTGATAAACTGCAAAAAGCTACATGTTTGTTGGAATTATCAACCAGAAAAGTCTACTTTTAACAGTAATTTATTAACTTTTGCTTCAAACTACTTCGTAAGTGCTCATTTTGCCTTCAAAAAATGGCAATACAACTTTTTCTTATCGAAGGACTGCAATGACCCAATGCTTTACCCTGTTAAAACATGCAGCTCAATTTACATTGGTTTGCGAGATAAAATAATTTTACCCTTCAGTTGTTCACACATGGGATGAACCAGCTCTGCCAGGGGGTGTAATTTTCCCTATTTTGAAAAAATTTAAGTTAACGTTACTTTTTTTAGAAATGTACTCATAAAGAGGATTCTCAATCGCTTGTCGTGATTAGTCGCACCGCCTCGCCGTGGGTGGGGCGCTGCGTTCGCGATGCCCGTTCGCAAGGCACGTGGCCCTGCCCTGGCGCCGCCGGCGCCCCGCGAGGCGCCCCGCGGCCCCCCCGCGCCGCCGCCGCCCGCAGCAGCCTGCGAGTGAAAGGAAAGGCTCTGCGAGCGGGACGGGGACGGGGGCTTGCCCGTGGACGCCACTCGACGACGACGTCACGTCTAGCTAGAGGTCTCTGTCGGACGCCCCGCTGCTGCTTTGGGCGCGTCTCCCTCCCCTCTGCCCGCGGGGTCCTTGAAGGGCAGGCGGTGGTACAAATGTATTTGAGAATCGAATCCGCCACCCACTCTCAATAAAGGCGTTAGCGCGGCGAGCCGTGCTGCGCAGTTTGTATGGGGCCGAGGCGGGCTCGTGTGAATTCCCTCGTGCGTAGTAAGTCCGGGCCCGGCCCGCGCGCGTCACACCCCGCCCCGCCCCGCCGGGTCAGCGGGAGGGCGGCCGCGGCGGCGGCCAGGTGGAGGGAGCGACCTCCTCAGCTGATCCGAGATGAAACGGAGGGGGGAGGGGGCAGTCAGCTGACGACCACGGGGAACGCGGGGCCAGCGCGGCGGCTTGGGACGACACGTGCGCCAAATCTCGTGAAACGCAATACTCTTCCACGCCCTGCCCCCCCCCCTTCCCTTTGCCCTTTGTCCTTTTCGGGTCGAGACAGTCATGCTTCCGCAGGCGGCGCGGGCCACCGACCCGACCGAGCAGGTGATAATAACCGCGCCAACCCCGCGCCCAAGTTATTTCGTGAGCGGTGCCGAGGGGCGGGGAGAGAAAGGGGAAGGAAGGGAACCGGTGCGGCGGTGGGCGGCACCCGAAGTGAAGGCTGGCGGGCGGCAGCGTTGCGTTCTCAATGGAACTCTTTCCCGCCGCCGCGGTACCCGCCCCGGCCCGGACCCGGTCCCGCCGGTCGCCCGGAAGCCCGTGAGCAGTACCCGACAGACTGCACACGTCTTTGAGCCCGCGAGGAGGAAGGTTTCGGGGCCGCGATAGTATAGGCGGTTATGGGGCCGACCTTGGCCTTGAGGGAGGCTAGGAGGAAGAAGGGGTGTCTAGCCGAGCCGGCGGTTTTGGCTTACTTTGAGCGGTAACTTTGCCGCACACACTCTCCTTTTATCCTTGGTCACTTATGCTGCCGTTAAAGTTGAACTATAGCGACTCAGAGCTCCCACCAACCGCAGCCTCGTGTGCGGTTTTCACGCGTTTTAAACAGTAGGAAAAAAATAAACGAAAAATACATTTCGGGGACGCGAACGTGTTTTGACTGTGTGTCTGCCCTTCTTCGCACAAGTCGGGTGTGTAGCGCCACTTTGATTGCGTCGCCGTGCGAGGCGGTGTGTCGCGAGTGAGTGGCGATTACCGGCGTCCTGATAATGAGGAGGGCCGAATAACCCCCACTGCAAGGAGCTCTAGAGCTGGCTCTAGGACACGCTGAAAGCTGGTGGGTGAGCCGCTGCATGTGAGTCGGCGGCGGTGACCTACTACACTACTGATCCGGTTATCAGTGCAACTTCAAGTGCGTCTGCACCCCCATTTTCTCTCTCTTTCTCTCTGCTGACGGTTTTGTCTCCCCGCTTCTTCCATATTTCGCCTGGCGTGGCGCGACGCGGCTCATGTCGGTCGCTATTGCACATTTAGCGGCTCGGTTCCGCTCTATGGGCATGAGCAGCCCCCCCCCCCCTCCTACCGCTGTCAAGGGACCCAGTCCGCCAGCCAGTCCGCGCTCGCGAGAGTACCCGAACAACGTCCGCTACGCTCCGCGAAATGCTAAAATTTGCCAGCAGCGGCGTGCGTCTGCTTTTAATTGCCGCTCTGTGCGCTCACTCTGCCCGGGGAAGGCCAAGGAGTCGTGCGCGCCGGGCGAACGGGGAACTGTGTATGAGAGAGAGAGAGAGGATGAACGGGGGGGGGGGTGACATTTGCGTCATTCATTCGTATCTATCAGCGGCGTAGAAAACTAGTACGTGCTGAGATTTTCGGGGTGGAGAATGGGAGGGGGGAGGGGGTGTTCGAGAACGAGCCGGACGAGGATGTGCATCTATCTGCAGTTCGAGTGTTGTGTCAGCCCGTTATCTAATGCGCGATTGTCTTGCGTGGCCGCATCAGAGATGGAGATGAGAAAGGTGAGCTCAGCCGGGGCCGTCGTCTATCCAGTTAGATAAGAAAATAAGTCATGATGAGAACAAATCTCACGAGCTTGACTACAGTAATATCCTGACGTCGTCGCCGGCATTCGTCGCTGACCGGAAATGCCCTTGTGCGCGCCTTTCTGAGCTTTTGCTGCACCTCATCATCACGACGCTTCATTTTGCCGCGCTCGTTTGGATTCCCCGATGGCTTCTCATGCGCTCCGGACCGGAAGCCCCCCGAGTCACGTGACTTTGCTGAAGACTCTAGAGTCGACCGGGCGGCGGCGGCGTGGCGAAACATATGCCCCGGCCTCTGGCCTGCGGACGGTCATGGGTTATTCATTGAACACCCTCTCCCGGCCCACTCGGCCCCCGCCCCGCCGCCGGCTTCGGGTCTCTGCGTCTTGAAATCTCGAAACTTTCTCAGGACGGAACGCTCCCACCAAAAATGGAGTCACATTTAATTTTCTAAGGAGACGTATCTCCTCCTGAATCGCTGCGAAACGCACCCGGGTCGCTTGGGAAGGACTTCCGTGTATACGACCGTACGCGTATGGCGCGTTGGGTTCGCGCGCGGGGGGGCCACAGGAAAGGCTTTTGCTCGCGGCCGATGCTTGTGTAACGACGCTCTAGAACGTTTCGGGGCTCCTGTTTTGTTCTCTACGCGCCCGGCCTGTTTCCCACCGTGTTGCCCCCCAGGATCCGGCTGCAGGTGGAGGGAGGGGCGCAAGTCGACCGACGTTGATGGCCATTCATAAGAAACAAACACCCATTTCTATAAATTATGAATGCTAATCCGGCTTGTTTGTCTTTTTTTGTGTGTGAGCATTTTTGTTTGCGCCGTGTGCTGAACGCGACGACGGCTGCACTTTGCGCTGCTGATCCGGCTTGGCGCAGCGCAGTTGCGCCGCGGGGCGAGGCGCGCCTCCTCTGCTGACTTGGATTAGCCACATTATCCTGCTGAGGCGACCCACAAAAGCGAGACGCCATACACGACGCCGATCCATCACACGCCGAGCCCGAGCGTGACACTTCCGGCACCGAACCGAAGGGCCCACGAGCAGCGGGATTACTGACTCACTCGATATGGCAGTGGAGCGCTATTTTGGCTAATGAGACATCCTCAAGCCTATCTGTGCCATGTATGCCTGCCTCTCTGTATGGCGTATTAACTGTCGTTTCTCTCGCGGTCACGCTCTCAGTGACTGCCCAGTTTCTATGGAAGGAAAATAAAAATACATGTGTACAACAGGCAAACACTAAAAAAAGATGGAGAAAAAAATTGTTTGAGTCTATCTTCTCCTATGGCACATTAGCATAAGATGATGAAAAACAATTGCGCGGTTGATAGCAAACGGAATGACAGGGCGGCGTGGCGGGGCGCGGCTATGCGAGTGATAACCAAGGCGATTGGAGAGGCGACGTCGAGTGGACCACACGCCCCTCGTGTCAGGCTGTGTGTCAATTATATGTGATGAACGAGTGGTGAATATGAAGGGGCGTTGCCAGGCCGAGACGGCTGCACACCGCGGTGCTGCTCTCCGCTCGGCGCCCTCGCCTCGCCCTCGCCGGCCTCGCCGCCGTCCGGCATGGAGCTCTCCGGTCTTCCCCCCGTGAAATGGTGGTATGCCGCCTGGCCAGGGGCAGGCATGTCGCTCGGCACGTATCGCCCCTGGCCGTGGGGTGTGTCTCGTCTGGTCACGTGGCCTGTCGTGGCTGGACCGAGGGGTGCGTGGCCGGCCGCCCTCCCCTCCTGCTCAGGGAGCCCCCCCCCCCCTCCTTTCTTTTGCCTGCGACGCAAGTCTGAGGCGCGAACGCCGCCGTTGTGGAATGGAACACCTTCTCTTCTCTCCCCTTCCCTCCCGCAGTGCTTGTGCTGACGAGCAGCGCGACCCATAGTGCGGCTGTCTGGAGGCTCCAGGCCGGAGCTGACTGTTGGCGCGTGGAATTAGAACCTTTGAAGACGCCTTCGCGCGGCGGGGTTCTGCGGGGGCCGGGGGCGGGGCGGGGGTTGTAGAGTTTTGGGAAAGGCGACTCGCTGCGAAGCCGTCCCCGCTCCTGCCTGGCCTGGGTCAGTGATGTTGCCCATAGCAGCATACTTCGCCAAGGTCAGCACGCTAACAGCGGTCCGGCCGGCGCTACTGGCCGTATCTGTTGGGATGGCCGGCCGCGCCGCGCCACTCCTGGCCGATATGACATGACGGAGCCGACTGCCGCGCCCGCCGCGGGGGCCTTTTGCGTAACGGCGGCGCGCGTCGTTCCCGTGTTCTGGAGCCAAGTGGCCCGGCTGGCCCGGCTGGCCCCAGACCCCGCCCGCCCGCCCGCCCAATCTTCTCCAGCAGCACGCTTCAGTGGCTCCAGACTCTATCGACACCTCCCAGGCTTCTATCCAGGCTCCCGGTGACGTGGGCGTGGGGCGGGCTGATGACGCGCGTAGAGGGTGGCTGCCAGGGTCCCGGCCCACGCCCGGAGCTGCTGGGGCGGGGTGGCGTGGTGCTCCGGGGGCGGGGTGGAGCAGGGTAGGTCGCCCGTTCAGACACTTGTTGCCCGCCCCCGCCTCGCCCCCGCCCTCGCCCCCGCCTCGCCCCCGCCCCCGCCTCGCCCCCGCCCTCGCCCCCGCCCTTCTCTCGCACCACACCACGGACTCGCTGCTGACGTCGAACGTGAAAGTTGTGACCGTGACCGTGGCCCCTCTCCCCTGATAACGGGGGGCGGTTGCCCTGTTATTCTCACCGCGAGATACTTGTAAACAAAGTGTGAAAGTGATAAAGGCGCCCGACGCCCGCGGGCGGTCCGCGGCAGGCTGTGCTGGGCTGTGCGGAGGGTGGTCCACCCCGCGCGCGCTTGGCGCGGACGGCATGGGCCCCACGGGCTATGTGGACTACGTGACTACTGACTACGTGACGCCCTGCCAGTGCGGTGCCCTTCCCCCACGCCACGCCACGCCACGCCACGCGAGTTGCGACCCGCCGCAACGCCGGCAATTGGGATCGGGTATCATTCCCGTCCCGTCACGCCACGCCACGCCAGGCCACGTCCAGGCCACGCCAGGCGGGCGGCGTGTAGCGTTGCGGGGCGTAAACCGCAGTCCGGAGGCACTTTATGCGTAATTACTTTGTGCAGAGAATAACCGCTGCGCTGGCCGGCGCTTGCAGCGCTTGCAGCCGGGTCGTTGAGCTCGGCCGGCCCGTATGCGCCTGCGCCATGGGCCACCACCATGCCACCACCGAATCTGCGTCCAGATACGGGGGGGGGGGGGGTCTTGGGTACCTGAGTGTGCTAGTGTGAGGAAATAGTGCACTAACGTGGCTGTAATTCGTCCAAAGCTCATTTTTTCTCATACTAGCAGACTCGCTCAGACACCCAAAGCACAAGACACTCAGACACTCGCGTATCTGGATGCAGCTCAACTCGAGTACCTGACGTGCACCAAATGTTCTCGTCGACCGAGTGCAGGCGTCAAGGCCCCCGGGCTGGTAGCTTTGCCTGCTTCACCCAGCCTGCGCCGGCCACTTCCCCTTCCTGCACTGACCGACACTGGGCGGACTTATTGGGCTAGAGGAGTTCGACGCGGTACGGTCCGGCCTGTGGGGGAAGTACAGCCAGGGATGTGTACTATTAAAATGTGGTGATGTCGTTTGCCATTTTGTCATGAAATCCACTTGTGGTGCGTGCATAATAATTGATTGCGAGTACCTGGTGCAATTGAACTTTAGTAATACTGTCAAGTTATTTTATTTTCAACATAAATCTTGCAAAAAGCTCAATACTCTTCTGGAAGTTGAAAGATTAATTACAGGCAGTGTGTTTGCCCATTTCCTTATTAGTCACTAATCTGGCTGTCACTGACTGTATATTGATATTGTGTGAGACCCTGTAATTTGTTGTTTGTTCCATGGTTTCTGAATATTTTTCATCTTTGTTGCAGATGTTATAGTTGCCAGTGAGGGTCATCTCAACACATTGACAGCCACTGGAGAAATACATGAAATAAATACACCCACACCTGTGGGCTCTTCGGTGTCTGTAGCTATGTCTCCAAGTCGAGACAAACTCTATTTGAGTGACAGTAATCATCCAAATGCCAGCCTCTTATCGCTGGACATTGCCTCTGGCAAAATGGAACCTCTTGTGCCAAGTAAGATTGCATTCAAGTTGTGGTGGCATTGCAGATTTTCTCAGATATTTTATAAATAAAGTGCTTTTTTCTTTTCTTTCTAGAACAATCTGGTAATATTCTTGGATTGGCTTTGGATCCTTTGAACAATGTAGTGTACTGGACCACAGGGTATGGTCATTCAATATTGAAAGCAAGCATTGATGGCCATTCAGATTATAGATCAAGAACAGTTAAGACTGTTCATAAATTTAGAGATGAAATGCCGCAGGGTATAGCAATTGATAGTTGTGGAAGGTTTGTATAAGTGAAATCTTGCTCTCTTAAACTTACCAAAGTTACCAAACTTACCAAAGAGTAGTTTTTTTGTTTTCATTAAAAAAATCTAATTTTCTGCTTGTAGGTACCTTTTTTGGACCAACACTAATCGAAGAGCACCAAGTATAGAAAGATCAAATCTAGATGGTTCTAATCGCACAGTGATAGTCACAGAAGATCTTTATGTACCAGTAGGAATTGCAGTAGACCAGATAGAACGCAAGTTGTATTGGACCCAGGAGCTTGGGGGCATATACTACTCTATTGAACGAAGTGATTTGGATGGCAGTAATAGGGAGGTCATGAGATCAACGAATCATCAGCCTTACACTCTAGCAATTGGCACTGATTACATTTACTGGGCTGACTGGACACACAATGCTATTTGGAGAAAGGATAAAAATCATCTAGTTGAAGGTAAATATGTTGTAATATTGTCTCCTGTAGGGTTTTTTCTTCCTTGTTTGACTTTGAGACATTTTTCTAATATGATGTACTAATAATTTCAGGTTCTGATCCTCTTAAAGTTTATGCACTTTCATCAGCACCTCATGGAGTTGTGGCATATCTAGATGGTGAAGCAAAAACTGATGCTGATTGTCGGTCAATACTATCAGCTCATGAAATGAAAAAGTTTGAAGCTACAACAATCATCACAACTGCTGCAACTGATGATATCACAGAAGCTGACTGGAATGACGGGACTGTTGTAGATGATGAGTTTTGTCTGAATAGTGGAGCTATTCTAAAAACAAAAGATCGAGGACCTGTTTGTCGCTGTCTTCCAGGGTATACAGGAGTAAGGTAAGCCAATATTTTGCTTGAACTGCCGAGATGGTTATTTTCTAGCTGACAATTATTTTTAATTTTTATTTTGTTTTTTGTTTCTTTGTTGTGTAGGTGTGAAACTGAGATTTGTTTCAATTTTTGTGTTCATGGAGTGTGCTCTATGGACAACAAAAGAGGGTTTGCTACTTGCATCTGTGAGCCAGGCTTCTCAGGTGACAGATGTGAGCAAAACTTGTGCTCTGACTTTTGCCTTAATGATGGTCATTGCCATATTGTGAATAGTAAACCATCATGCACCTGCCATGATTCATTCAAAGGAGAGAGATGTGAAATTAGCAACAGCCTGAGCAAACTTTGCCAGATTTATTGTGAAAGTGACATTGCTCTTGTACCAGTTCAGTCTAGTTTAGATGTTCAATCACTCTGTGTGTAAGTTCTTACTGTCTTTACTGTTTTTAACCTCAGTAGTTTTTGCCTTTCTAATGTGAACATTCATTTTGCAGTTGTTCCCCAGAGGGAAAGAAACTAAACACCTTAAATGAAACTGCCTATGTCGTTCCTAATGAAATGAGCCAAATGTCTCTGAAGAAAGAGTCATCGGTTATTATTGAAAATAATTTAGCTTTGCTCATTGTATTTGGATGTATCTGCCTTCTTCTACTGTTAGCAGTTGTAAGTATTTATATATAGTATATACATAGTAGTTATCCATCGCTGTGATATTAATTTAATATTTTGAAGCCTATATAGGTTTTGTAATATCATACTTGCTTGTTTCAGATACTTCTTACCTATAAAGTTCTGATGCTACGAAAGCGTCCTCGCATCAAGAAAAGATTTATTGGCAGCAAGACAGTAACACCTACACCACTAACCAATCGGCCCAGTCCGGCAACTGATCAATGTGAAATAAATATTGAAAATTGCTGTAATATGAATATATGTGAAACGGTAAGACAGAAAGTATAAAGGTTTCTCAATAGCTTGTGAACTGCTTCTGTCTTTTTGTGGCTAAATCTATGGATGCATGGCAAGCTAACGTGTTATCAAATATATGTATGGTGCAAATGACCACCCATAATATTATTTGGTCATTTGCAGCCGTGCTTCGAGCCAAATCTTCGGACATCACGACCAGGATCAAAAAAAGAAGAAAAAAAGACACTTTTGGACAGTATGGAGAATTCACAAGGTGGATCACATGATGATTTGTATTAGCAAATTTCCTCTCTGCCTAGTCACTGTTTTTGACTAATATGTATTTATATTTTTACTAAATCATACTAAATTCAGGGCATTAGAGGGTACAAATAGGCTTGTATTACATTTTTTATAAATTGCCTACAAAGTGTTCATGTGATATTGAAAGCTGAGTGACTGTTCTCTCCAGAGTGAATTATCAATTTTTGAGATTGTGATAGTAAAGCACATAGTGATGGAGTGATGTTTGAGGGATGTGATTATGTTATCAATCCTGTGATGAGTAATTTGTGTAAGTTTTAAAAACTAAAATGCTCTATTCTGGAAACGCTGTCTGGTAGATCATGAGACTTATGTACGTACATCAACCTCTGAGTACTATAGTTCATACAATACCACATATGCAGATTCCACAATATTAATTTATCGTTAAGTACAAAGTTAGACCAACTACCGACTTATGTGTTCTACTGTATTGGCGTAGCTAGAATGAAGCATTTGTTTACACCAGGTTAAGAACCAATGTCTAATACCAAAAATGTATCTTAATTAATCTTAAATCGATCTCAGAGCTGTGGCACATGAGTTCATAATTCCTAAAATGTTCTCTACTTAAAAGAAATTGTGCAGCTTTGCGTCTGAGTTGCTTTGCTCAAGGGATATGCTGTATGTGTGATTTAGATTCCAGACGGCTCCATATTTGCCAAAATGTTTCAATTTGGTCTGTATATTTTCCCCGTGCTTTTGAAGTGTGGATGACATACCTGCTAGAGCCTACAACATTGGCCTTTGAAAGACCACTAGTTATTTATTAGTCCAACAACTCTATTGGGCCCTTGTGACGTCATTTTTCTTGTGATTGTTTTGTTACTTAATGTACTAGGGCTATTACAGGGTTTTTAAGGCTTGTCAAAGAATTTGAGCCTTATATTTTCTATTCAATGTTCTGTTTTTAGTTTGTTTTTTTCTTTTCTTTTAAATTTCTGTATTTGAAAGTTTGAGATTATTGATCCAAATACCACAGTCACCTCATAGTCGCCTTTTTTCTATAGGTTCATGAGGCACGCTGTTCATTCTTGTAGATTGTAGTGTAGTGTAAGGGTTTTATTTAAAATCAATCCTCTTAGGTTTTTTTTGTTTGTTTTTTTGTCTGATAGGAGGAGATGAAAGAGGAGTGTTGTTAATGGCACTTGTTTGCAATTGATGTGCACAAAAGAATGACAACTTAGGTAAACAGGACATCATGTATCTGGTCACTATCTTGAATGCCTAACAGCATCAGACTTTATTTCAAGAAAAGTAATTATGTTACCATTATATTTTCTTAACAAAATTTCCGACAAGTGAAATGGAAGTCTTATTGATGAGATATGCCCTTCATGCACCATTTTGGAGGCTGCCTTTTTTCTACATTCTCCTATTGTTCCCTTCTTATCCATCAGTCTTCTTCTGAAAGTTTGGACTGACAAAAGTGATAACAATGACAAGATAAATTGTAAAAACCAATAATATAATGTAAGTAGTGTTTTAAATTCTGTTATGTTTTCAAATTTCGACAATGTACTTATTTTATTTTTCTTTGATTGAAGGAAAGACTTTTTTAAATTGTTTGGTAAAAAAACTATTTTAGTTCAATTTTGTTTGAAATTCCTGAAGGTTAATGTACCCTCATCTTCATATATACTTACTGGCTCACTTTGGAGGTAGTCTTGCTTGAGAGAGGTTTCATGAAATGTTTGCGTGCTTTCCTCTAGTGCACTAAGACAAAATATTATTATTTTCCAATATTGCTCTAGTACAGTAAGGATGTCAAGTTATGTATTTTCATCTGAGCAGAGGAAACTGTATGCAAGCCCAACCCATTTTTTCTGAAATCTCTCTCAAAGTCCGACAGAAATTAGTTAAAGTATTGAACAATTATGTATATTTCACCTTCAAAGTAAGTTCTGTTGTTAAGGTCATCATAAATTCATAAGGAACAGTTATAAATTAACTGTCCAATGAAGTGCTGATGCTTGGGGATATAAGTTTCCTTTGTGATATAAGTAGTAGTCTCATAGAGTTATGGTTTTAAGGACCATAGATTAGTTCTCCTGTAATTATGTATAAGGCAAGGTTTTTTTTTTTTTTTTTTTTTTAATGAAAGTGTTTAGATTTTTAGTTACCATAACGTTTTCCTACTGAAATCATGCTTTACCTGAATGCTCTGTGTCCCGGCACTTATGAGTAGGGTATTTATTTCAAGTTTCTGCTAATGATTGCTTTGAATTTTTAACATGCACCTTGGGTTTTCAAGTATGTAGCTGATAGTGGCGCCAATTGAAGTGCCAAATATCTTCTTTCTTGTCATCCAGCATGCCAAAATGTAAAACAATAGTAACAAATTCTGTACTTCTCAAGGCAGCAGAAGAGTTAAAGATTGATTCCATCCCATTCTTTGATGAACTGTTAGATCCTTGTATCGACGTCTTATCAAGCACACCTTCATAATTCTTGTGCTTTTTTTATTTATTTTTAAATTATATGCCATTGTGGCTGATTGAAAGACTGAAAGAGAACCATTTCCAACTTATGCAATGGAGATTATTTCATACCCCTTCATTGTAAAGTTTTGGTCTTAAAAGAACCAAATCTCCTAGGTACATGTTATCAGTGTAGCAAGTCTGAAACATGTCGGATCGGCTATAGCTTACCTCACTTGGGTAGTGCTTTTCTTTACAGAAAATAAATGAAGGGTTTGCTGCTCAAAATATGGCTTGATGTAAATTGTTAAATATTATGGATGCCTCAGCACCAGCATCCGTTGCATGGGTAAAATGCGATGGACTGACACTGATAAAGTGTACTCTATTTTACAAGAATATTAAACTTGAATATGAAGAGAGTGATCTTTTTCTAAACATGCTCCAATAACCTGATAACGCCTGAGAATCTTTCAAAGAAGAAGTCTAGCTCACGTAGCATGGTGGTTGCAAATGAAACTTGTCTCAAGCCGACCCCTCTTCGGCGCTGCTCAACCCCAATGGCAAAACCCACAAAAAAATACCACTTACATGACAGATCAGATGCTTTATTAACCTATACATATCTTACACTTAAAGGTCACTGAATGACAAATTACCTCAAGTTTTCAGGTCTAAACCCTGAACATTACCATTCTCATTAAGTACAAAACTCCCTAAATGACAGAAAATGATCATACAGCACTTTGATTTGGTGAAATTGGACAAGTGCAAGTGGTGAGTGAAAAAGTGGTAACACATAGCTACTTGAAATTGTGAACACACCAAGAGATCAATGAAAATTGATTTCAAGTTTTGCCGACAGAGCACAGCAAAAATTTACATTACCTAAAACATGTCAAATATTTGGAATAAACTATTCATTTCATTTGAGCCATTACAGTAAAGCAAAATTACATATCCTTGAATTCTCCTGTCCCGTCAAGCATTAAAATGTCAGGATTCTCCTTTTCGAATGATGTTGGATCATGCTCCCGCTCATCCTTGCCCCACTGGCCCAGTTCCTTCATTACATCAGGCTGTTGTTTCCGTTCCTCCTCCTCCTTCTGCAAAACAAAGAAAGAAAAAAAGAGTGCAAAATAACTTTTGTGGCTTTAAATATTTGCAAGGACTTAAATGCAAACTGAGAAATATCAAAATTAAAAATAGTTTTTCTTTTACGTTAACTAAATCAACCACACTCTAAAGAACTTTGTCCATCCACCCTCGCTACTTCAAACTAAAACCAGACACAGGAAGAGGAGGAATTCCCCACTAAGTAAATGGCTCTTACAGTTGTTAAATTGACAAGATTGAAACTTAGGGGCAAATTTGACATGGAATTGCTTAAAGAATAAAATATGGTAGATGTACATGATAAGAATTATTCCTTGGCTTGACACTTGACCATATTCTCCAAAGGAAAAAGGGTAAGTCTATATCGAAAAAAAACTATGAAACTGAAGTCTGATTAACAATTTCTTCTGAAGCTGGACTGCTTTCGTTTGCGGCAATATCCTCTCTTCTTTTGTCAGGGAGATCTGCTTCTTCAACATGATTGGTTTCCTCTCTCTCTTTCTCTCTTTCCATTTTCTGTTTCTTCATTCTCTCTATAAATTCTCTCTTCTTTTTCAGTTCTTTTGCTTTTTCTTTCTCAGCATCTTCAACATCCTCATCTTTATATGGGGCAGGAGTAACTGGGTGAAGTCCATCCCACCATCCAAAACGGCTTACTTTTTCCTGCAAAACGACTTGACAATAGAATCTAGCATAGGCTTTACAGCGCTTTTCGGTTTGTTTTACGAGAATGAAAGGGATTCATTCAAGAGAAATTGTTAAATTATTGTGAGGTAACAAGCCACTAATTGTATGTTCAAACTATGACATACACTTACCATATTAAAAGACAGATTATTTACCAACATCCAACAGGTACAAAATCTTCTTGTCAGTTAACATGCTCCACAAGTACGCATAGCTCAAAAATAATTAATTGGTAATTATTAGTTTCTTGACTTTAGTGTATGATTAATCATATAACAATGAAAAGATGGGATTAGTTTTGACAAATACGGAGCAAATCTTTACATAACTTGTCATACAAACTTCATGTAAATCAAGTCACAGCAGTTAGTCACACAAAGATTGTTAACTTTCTTAAACATGAAAACGCCACATATCAAAGGGTGTTGAAATGTGCTTCAAGTTCTTGTAGCGGTTAACTATCAAAATCCAAGACAAATCAAAAATGAAGACCTTTTACAACTAAATGGGTAAGTCAATTATAGTTCAGCATATAATTTTCTTTTTCTATTTCACGACTTCCTGAATTTCTAGAACAAAACCAGGAGCCTACCACAACTAAAAATCCTGCAATAAACTTTATTTAACTGTCTTCTGGTCTGGTACTTGCCTACAGACTAAGCTACCATAAACAAAACAGATGAATCCACTTGGAATGGTCAAGAGTCAATGCAGAGGAAACAACAAAATGCCTTGTTAAGTTCAGATGTTAGTTTAGTAGCAAAAAAAAATCAATAACAGAATCATCCACAGCAAAGAAATTTTCATCTCACAACAAAAGGGAGATAAACCTTTTAAGTTGTTGATTAGAAGAGCCAGCTGAAATCTATACTCCTAGCTTTGATAGGTATCTACAAGTATGTCCTAGCAATCACAAACAAATTCAAATTGAAAACCCAACAACCAGGTTTGGTTACCACCAAAAAAGAAAGAAGGATGTCCCAGAAGCCAATGGCTTTTGGGAATGCCATACATTGGGGCCCACGGTGAGGGTCACGTCGCCCTGAGGGACATAATGCGGTGACCCACGGTGTGGGTCCCAACGCACTCAACGTGTTATATGGTACCTCTTCAAACACATCAACAGCAACCAACTTCTCAAAAAGTTATATTGCATGTTACTAAAAGTAAAAATCAGACCAAGAAAATAATTTAAAAAAACAAAAACAGCAAGGTCTTGTACAAGTAAGTTTATTTCATGACCTCTAATGTAAAGGACTTAATTACCAGTCACATTAGACATTTAAAATGTATAACTGATTATGTTTAACACAGCAAAAGTTGATTGACAAATGATTAAGTGCAACTTTTAAAGGTATTAGTTTATAAAAACTATAAACCGAGGTGAGAGGCAATCTCTACAAAAAGATCTAAAACATTCCACACACGCAAAACAAAGTAAAATTAAAACGGATGAAAAATCATACCTCTCGGTCTTTCTGTGCAAACTTCTCAAACATATTGGCATAAATCTTCTTTTCTTTTTTCTTCTGTTCTACTATTTGGGTGTTGCAAATCACAATACTGTTGAGTGCAGCCTTGTTTTCTGGTGCTAGAGCAACAACAGCTTCAAAATCCTTTTTAGCAAGTTCAGGTTCTCCCAATGCCAAGTAGCCCTGACCAAAAAATGGCATAAAAAAGCATTTAGAAAAAGTTCAAGCCATAACAGAAATCGTTGTATGCAAAGTAAAACACTTAATTTACCTGCCCTCTTCTGAAAAGACCTTTCTCATTTTTGGGATCTAAATTAAGAGCTTCACTACACTGATCAACAGCATCTTTATTTTCATTTAACTTTAAATGACATAGGGCTGCGTTAAGCCGGCCTGCCAGTATTAATCCATTAGGATCTGCAGTGTCTAAAAAAAAAAAAAAAAAGAATAGATAAAGATGATATTTGTCCTGTGACAATTTGATAATGAAATAAGAAGTCCTGCCACCTACCTTCACCTTCTAGGAAACTGAGTAACTTCTTGTACATTTTCACAGCTAACTTGTAATTCCCAGCTTTGAAATATTTAGTACCCTTTTCTTTATACAATTGAGCCTGTTTGACTTTTCCTTCTTCATCAAGGGACCATTCCTCTGGTTCCTAAAAAATCAACAAAAGATATATTAAACTATTAATTGACAGAATTGATGAAAAATATATATAGTTGAAACAATAATATTACATTTTCAAAGGACTTCAGTTCCACTTCATATTCAACCACAGCATTGGAAGGAACTTTAACATCTGCTTTACCAGCTTCTCCAAAAGCAAATTCAGGCTTCAGTTTCAAACGTGACTTCTCTGCTTTCTTAAATTTCTCAAGTGCTATTTCAACACCCTCAACTACACCGACATCACTGCCTTCTCCCAGACAAAAATTGAGACTACGATCTTCAAATACTTTATTTTCATATTTACCGACCAAATGTACTGAAAGGAAACAACACGTTATTTCCTTCATAATCCTACAGAGATTTTTACTCCTAAAAACAAGTTGCATAATTGTGAATGATGTAATACCTTCAACCTGAGCTCCATTTCTAGGAGTGGAATGGCCCTCTCCAGCAGTGATGAGAGTTCGAATGATACCTCCATTACTCTGAGGGCTTAGGTCTTCTCCTTGCCAGTCAATCATTTCAATCTGTGAGAAAGAGAAAGATTATGATTGGGGACTAAACCTTGACTAAACAGAGAAACCTTGAAATCTAAGAAACTGCAACGATACCTCAAACTGCAAAGTAGCATCAGGAGGAATTGTAGGTGGGCTGCCGGCCTTGCCATAAGCATAGTCTGATCGGCATGTGAGCATACAAACTTCTCCCTTCTTCATTGTGGCTACACCAATATCCCAAGCAGAAATAACACTACCTGCAAAAGGTTAACAAGCAGCAGTGAAATGGCATTCTCAATTATTGCAGGTATTTGTACACAAAATACATAAAATCAGTACCTTCGCCAAGCTTGAACTCAAAGGGACTGTTGCGATCTTTACTGGAGTCGAACTTAGTGCCATCTAATAAAGTTCCAGTATAATGCACCTTCACTTTGTTTCCTTGGGAAGGCAGTTCATCTCCTGTCCCTTCCTGGATAATTCGTTTCAGTACACCCCCATCTTTTTTCTTGGAAATGTCAACACCTTGAGGATTGACGACTTCACCAGCCATTTTTCTGAAAGAATAATCAAACGAAGGCAACATTAACAACCATGTAAAAAAAGTGTTGTTAGGATTCAAGGGCAAGATTAAATTAAATATCTGAATAGATGAAATAATTAAACAAACTGTGAAAACATGGTACATTAAAAAAGACAAAGTAGCTTAAGGGTCAGTCATTTTTTTCAAGACTAAGTATAGGACCCAATACCAAAGACACTTTGAGGGACCGGTAAAACAAATCGAATAAATGTGCTAAATACAGAAATACCGGCAAATCTTTGATTTCAGGCGATCACTGCATAAGACATTTTTTGAGGGCGGAGGGAGTAAGCGTGAGACCCATCAGACCGCATTCTGTACCAAGTCAAAGAATTAGTATGACTTGCACTTACTTACAATGGATTGAGTGTTTCCCTTTTCGAAGAGTGGATTACTCGGTTGAACGGGCAGGCTAAGAATGATTGAGGTGCGAACTCTTCCCCCGAAAGAGTGTTAGAACCGTGAAGAAACTTCGAGATCGCTGCAAGCACGCCGGATGAAACGGTTTGTGATTGGATGCCGCACAAACAAAAGATAGGGGTGGGGGGTGAAGGCGTTGCTGTGCCGGAAGGTCCTTAAACAGGCGAGAGATATAGGATCGAAACACGTCACCGCGAGAGGGTTATTGGCTTCCAGTCTCTCCCTTCTGTTCTGTTGAGAAAGGTGGACGTGCAGACGACACGAACTATTCACAGTTAGCTTTTACTCCTCGACGGCATCAACATCAACAACCATTTAACAGTAGTTCAGAAAGCGTATTTTCCTTCAATTTTTCTTCAGGGAAACGATTAACAAATCATATAGTTGGTAATAATGTGTAGCACTGTTCCTTGTCCAGAAAGTTGTTTGAGAATGGAAGAGTGTTGCTAAGGTAACAAGCATTGAGGGATCCTAGCAACACTGTATGGAGCCAAATTGTTTTCAAACAACTTGAAGTAGGTTCTTGAGTTGAGTAGTAGCAATGACGAGCATAAATAATGTACCTGAAAGTGCTTCTCAAACGGCCAGTATTCCTCATGTTAGTATATTCGAATGTCAGGTTTGTATACACAACGTAAAGAGGAGGGCACTCATATTTTAATTTTGACGATTTTGTTTATGCTGTTTTTTTGCAGGATCCATGGATTTCTGAAGAAGAGCTCTACACTGAGGGAAGTAGTGATGATGAAGATGACATGGCGCTGCGCATGAAGAGGCGTGCCCAGGAAGAGAAGAAAGAAAAGCAATCAAGTGCTGCTCATCATGTCAGACGAACTGAGAGAAGAGTTGTTAGTACTAGTAAAGCTACAGGCAACTCCTCTGCGAATGACTGTGATTTGATAGAGGGGGATAATCAAGGAGTCAATGATTTTAAGTGGCGACCTACTCAAGGCAGCACAAAGTTAAAACAAACTTCGGATCACTCTGACTCCTCAAAAAGTAAGGACCAGATATTAGAGCAATTTTAAATCTATATAGAACAAATAAGAGCCTTGCACCAAGGTTGATTAAATGATTGAATTAAAAGAGAAGATATGGATGATAAAATGAGTATTAGCTGAAAGATTTTGGGAAATAATCAGTATACTGACATATTTTTCCTTTTCTCTCTTTGGTCCAATCTGGCTTTTTTAATGCCATTTATGTTATTTGTTTTTCTAAGGAACCAGAAATTTACCTTGAGTTTGGTTCAAGTACTTTGCTGAAGTAGAATTGGCTATTGTAAGATTATTTGTTTTTAAACGAAAACTTTTGAGTTGTCTATAAATTACGCGGAATTATGAAAAGTAGTTGAAAGCGCTCTGAGTGCTCTGTGCTTACACCGCTTGCGGTCTAGACGGAGATGAGGCGCAGAACAGCTCACAAACCCCATCCTCACAGTCTCTCAGCGAAGCCTACAGCAACATGCACAAGCTGGACGCTCTTCTCCGAGACTCTGACCGCCGATTAAAGGTACAGGTCCTACAGCCGTGGTCGCCGTAATGTTCTTACTGCAAAAGGGAAAAGAAAAGAAACCCTTTGTGACCCTAACTTGCTGCGGTGCACAGGATGCGCAGGCGGAGACCCTGCGGGCGCAACTCTCCACGCGGGCCCAGCTGCGAGACCTGCGAGAGCAAGTAGGCGCCCAAAATGTGGCGTTGTCTGCGAACTGGGACGCCTTCATGAATCTCTGCCCCGTCATCGAGCCCAGCTGGGCGTGTGGTAAGGAGTGCCTGCCCGCGAGTGGACCAGGATCGAAAGCAGAGTGGAGTCTCTTGGAATTCCCTGGCGCAGCCGCAGCGCCTGGCGTCGCGGGGAGAGGGGCGCACCGCGCGGGACCGCGGGGTGACGGAGCTGACTCGGTGCTGCCCCGCATCAGCGGGGTCGAGTCGGAGGCGGACGACTCCGAGGACTCCGAGAGCGTAAGGGCGTTGCAGATGAGAGTGTGTTCCGTATCGGGGAGGACAAAGCCGCAACGGTAGCCGTTTCTGCTCTCTAGTCTGGCTCCGCGCTGGCCATCACCGACGAGGAGAAGATGAAGCTGGCCGCGCTGCTCCGCGACGTTGACCAGGACCATGAGGGAGGCCCCGGCCTCGGCGGGTACCACCTCGACGCGGAGGTGCGCCGCAGCCTCGACCACATCGACGAGAAGCTCCAGGAGCTCGTCTTGGACGCCTCGGACGCCGGCTCCGTGTCCGCCGCGCCTCCGTCGCGCGGGGCCTCAAAGGGGCCGAGGGGCGCCACCAGGCAGCAGCGCCTGGAGGACATCGACCGCTGCCTGCAGTCCCTGGCCGAGTCCGCCCTGGAGGTGAGGTCACATTACTCCCTGCAACTCGAAACCGTAGCCTTTTGGGCATCGTCGACCTCGAGGAGTCCTTTACTATAAATTCAAGCGTACACAAAATTTTCTGTTTTTGCTAAATTTTATTTTAACTTTTTGTCAGACTTTCTATGATACGGTATTGCTGGTCTTTTCTCTCTTTTTTTTTCTTGACGGTTTTTGATTTTTTTCTGACTCTTTTTTAGAGGGTTTACAATCACTTTTTTGCAAGTTCTCCTCGGTTAACCTTGGTTTGGTTCCTCCAATAAACGCACTCCTTCCTATAAGCATTTCTTGACGGGCCTTCAGGACACGGAGCCCCTGGGCGAGGAGGCGGTCCGGTCCCTTCTGCAGGACGCCCAGGGCGCGCTCGGCCGCGGGGAGGGCGCAGCCTCGGGCGCAGCCGCTGCAGCGGCCACCGGCGCCGAGTCGGGCCTCATCAGCGCCCTGCTGGACGAGGCCCGCCGGGAGCTGCCGCGCTTCCACTACCGCTACTGCGAGACCGCCGACCAAGAGTTGCCCAGGCTCAATAGTGCGGCCAGATGAACAATAAATACGCCGATTATACTTAAAAACCTAGATATTGTAAAATTGAGTGAACGTGGCAATTTTTGTACTGTTTTGTATTTTTAGAAATAAAGCTTAAGTCTCCAATATGATTCAGAGCCCACATTCTGGACGCTGTTTTAATTATTCGCCGGAAGCCGAACAAGCCGAGCCGTGAGCCCTATGTACAAAGTGGTACAATCCTCACCTGCTGGAGGTGTCTAAATTGCAATTGGCCCCGCCCACTTGTCTACTCGGTTTACTGCATTCACGCTTGCATGCGGGTCGTCTGTAATAGGATCATCCACAAAGTACGCCCGTCATTCGCCGTTGCGAAAGTGCCAAGTTTAGCCCAAGCATGCACTCATGGCATGGCGCCTGATGGGTAGGCAATATCGTGCCTGCAGTGCATGCGTGTACTGCGGAGTGGTCTATCCCGGGTCTCGCAGGCGCCGAGCTCCCAGCTCCCTCCCACGATTCACCAACCAGAGGTAGAGGTGAGGTTCCAATGTTCCGCAGAGGAGGCTGGAGTTTTTGTCACATATGTACTACTATGCGCATTGCTACATAACGTGGATTCCCCAATTCATACTTACTTTTGTCCTCAATGTTCTCCCCCCGGCCCCGCGGGCTGCGACCTTTCCTTTTCACTTTATCTTGTGTTTTCCCCCATGTGTGCGCCATAAAGTGCGTTTATCCCCCCGTTCGGCCGCGCGGTAGCACCGGCGGTGACCTTGCTGTCAGCGCGCGGCTCTAGAGGGTTGTGCGCGCGCGGCGGTGGCAGAGCCAGTGTGCCCTGCGCCTCCGGCGGACACCTCTAGCAGCAACCACCCCCACGAGCAGCAGCAGAGAGATGCCTTCGGCGACCACCGCCTGCACCCTAGCCACCATCCTGCTCGCGGCCCTGAGCACCGCGGTCAGCGGCCAGGGCGTCGGCCCCGCGTCCGCACCCGAGGTAAAGGTAAACACCAAGACCAAGAGCGACCAGAGAGCTGTGCCTCTCGTGAATCATCCAAAAGATGTCGTAAAGACGTCGACACGACAGCATCAATGCGTCGCCTTGGCTCCGCGATTGTGTCGCGATTTTGTCCGTGTTTTCGCACTGCGTGCCCTTGCTTCTTGTCGCTTCTTGTCGCCACCGTGACCGCGCACCGCGTACGCACGTTAGCGCCGTGCCCACCGCCGCGTTATCTGTGGAGCTCGACGGGCAAGGCACGCCGGGATCACGGCCGTGCTCGGCGCCGTGGTCGTGGGTTGTAGAACGGCCTTGGCCCTGGCGCTGCGGGCAGTGCAGGTGGAAAAGTAGTCGAAAACCACAAACATTTAATTCTCGGGCATGGTGCACGACGAAAAAGCCTTCCAGGACCGCTGCGGCATGCCAAAATGTTGGTATTTCTACTGTTCTGGGCCAATATTTATTTGGATGCTCAATGTCGGCATTCTCTGAGGAGGCCGAAGGTTTTACCGGATTTTACACCACCCCCGACACCTGCAAGTCTGACCGTAAGCGCGTTCCTCTCCTTTGGGGAGGGCCATAATGAACGTCCGTTTCTGTTTTTTGACAGATTTATTCGACAAATTACATGACCTCAGCGCCTGCAAGACTGAAGGTAGGCCATCCCGCGGTACAGGCATGCACTGCAGGCAAGACGTTGCCTACCTAGCAGGCGCCTCGAGAGCTTGCCTGGCCTGAACACTGGACAGGTTCGCAACGACGAATAACCGACGAACTTTTTGGGATGCCCCTTTCCAGAAGGACGTGGACCAGGGTTCGGTGCGCGAGGACCAGAGGTTCTTCAGCTGCGTGGTCGTCTGCCGTCGGGCGTCGTCGAGGTTGTGCCGCCTCTGCAAACTCGCGAGCAAATGGCCCCAGAAGTTCCCGGGCTGGTTCACCACGAGCTCGCCGACCGACGAGACCTCCAGCGAGCCGGACGCCGGGGGTGACCAGCCGGGGTCAGTCGTGTTCCCAGACACGCTGCCCGACGGCACTCAGGTGAGCTCCCTTCTGTGCGTGTGTTACTGCGCTATGGACTTTCGACCTGCACCGGTATTTTTGTTTTTACGGCCAGCTTTACAGTTCAGGGGGGTTGTGTGTTAACACCAGAATCTTAAAAGGCGGTGTGGTAATAAAGTTACCAAGGAAAAATGTAACCTACTGGGATATGTTCATCTCTATGGCACCATCTCAATGGACCTGGTCGTGTGAGTGAATCCCTTTGTCTCCGCGCAGGACGCCATGCTGGAGACGGCGTCTCACATCCTGTCCATCGTGTCCGGCGAGGGCTCGGAGCAGATCCGCATCTGGCTGGAGAACCCCGAGCGAAACGGCGACAACCTGGACCGCCTGGCCGGCAAGCTGGCGTCCTTCCCCCGCGCGCCGTACGGCCGCGCCTACTGGCGTCTCGTGCTGCGCTCCTCCAGGGACCGGCCCTTCACGCTGCTGCGGGAGTCGCTGGCCCTCCGCAAGGCCTTCCAGCTGTCCGGCGCCGACCCGGGCCCCGGCTCCACCGCCCCCGCCCCCGGCCCCGCCCCCGGCAGCAAGCCCGCGGGCGGCGAGGAGACGACGAAGGAGGCCTCCTCCGAGGCGGGGAGCAGTCCTGAAGCAACGAGCACCGAGGCCGGCGCCGCCTCGGAGGCCGGCGGGGGGCGGAGGGGTAGGGGGCTGAGCGGGACCTCCACGAGCCCTTGGTCGTGAATGAGCACGGGGAGGCGTCAAGAAACGGGGTAGCTGCAATTGTATGTATTTTCATAGTCGTGCTCATTTTACATCACCATCGTCCATATTTCTGTGCGGGTAAACTAACAAAAAATATACAAAAAATGTTAACTTAGTAGACGTTATCTTTGAAAGTATAGACACGAAAAGTAAATAAATAAGGATATTCCGGAGAAGCCGAGCGGCAGGTGCGCGGGGAAGTGGAGTGGGGGAGGTGAGCGGGGCTGCGCGAATCACAGGCAGAGATGGAACGGGCGCGACCGGCTGGGCAGCTCCGTTTCCGCCTCCCCGCTTGTCCGGAACACCCCATTCCTGGCCAGAGCCCGGCAAAACGCCTGCTCGGGCCAGTGTCATCCCTACGTCGCAAAACTCCGTCTGAGCTCGGCCGCCACGCTCCGCCACTGCCTCCGCCCGACCGGGACTCGAAATGGCAGCGGGGACGGGACCGAGCGAGCGGGTGCCGGCTGCAGCCCGACCGGGAGTTGCAGGCGTTTTACCGGGCTCTGTTCCTGGCACCACTACTTCCCCGCAGGCACCGTGGTCGCTGCGGCCAGCGTGGTAGGTGCCGAGGAGGCCGCCGTGGTGGCCGCCGCCGGCGTGCTAGCGGCGCCTGTCGTGCCGGCCGTGGTGCTCTGGGTGCCGTCCGAGGCCTGGGCCGTGGTGGCCGTGGCGCCTACGCTCACGGTGGTCCTGGGCGCGCGGCTCTGCTCCGAGGCCGTGGCCGCGGTTGGTGGGCGAGGCCGCTGGGTGGCCGCGGCGCTGCCGGGGCAGCAGCGGCGGCAAATGTCCCGCACCTCGGAGCCGTAGTCGTCCCGGCACATCCAGTCGCACACGTCCTTGTCCGTCCAGAGGAAGCGCCGCACCCTGTCGCAGACAGACGCGGGGTGAGGACAGAGCGCGGGCGGACGGGGAACACGTCCACGTCAACGTCGCGCTCCGGGGCCCGACGGGAATGCATTACGTTGGTGCTCTTACCTGGAGTCCCTCGTCCGCAGTGACGTCGTGTCCCTCAGCCACCGCTCCCCGCTCTCCTCGCTACTCCCCAGTAGGCCGCTCCACAGGCATTTCGGCTGCGAGGAATGGCAAGTAAAGAACATCATCACGATTCACCGATCACGTTTTACACTACGACCCGAAATGCGACAAGCACCTCGCCCTTCCCACCCCACCCCCACCCA